TGCCTGCACTGCCACGGAGTCCAGGAGAAGGCGCTGCCGGTGGGGCGTGGCGGCAGTGCGCAGGGCGCTGACAGAGGAGGCGGCACCCGGACAAAAACTCCAAGAAGGCAGGGGGCACGCTACTTCTGCTCGTCTCTGTGACCTCAGATGTTAAGACAGTGCCTGGCACCCAAGATGAGCCCAATAAATACCTATTTACCCAGCCGGCGTGGCTCAGTGGTTGAGTGTGGGCCTATGAACCAGGAGGTCCCGGTTCACTTCCCAGTCAGGGCACATGCCCGGTTGTGGACTCAATTCCCAGTGTGGGGAATGCAGGAGGCAGCTGATCAATGATTCTCTCTCATCACGGATGTTTCTGTCTCTCTCTCCCTCTCCCTTCCTCTCTGAAATCAATAAAAACAAATAAATAAAAAAGAATTGAGCAGAAGCTTTTAAAGAAACACCTATTTAATGAATGAGCACGTGGGAGGTGAAGTCCTCACAGGGGCAAAGGGGAGAGAGTATTCCCGGCAGAAGGAACAGCATGTGCAAAGGCCTGGAGAGATGCCAACAGCGAGATGAATTACAGGTGCCGCCAATCGGGCAGGATGGCCAGGACACACATGCGGCAAGATGGTAGCGGGTGTCAGGAGGAGGGACCAATGTCATGTCCACGGCTAGGGCATGGAGATACACTTACCCCGTGGGCTTTGGGAGCCACTAGGGCAGTGATGGCGAACCTATGACACGCGGGTCAGAGGTGACACGTGAACTCATTTTTTTGGTTGATTTTTCTTTGTTAAATGGCATTTAAATATATAAAATAAATATCAAAAATATAAGTCTTTGTTTTACTATGGTTGCAAATATCAAAAAATTTCTATATGTGACACGGCACCAGAGTTAAGTTAGGGTTTTTCAAAATGCTGACACGCTGAGCTCAAAAGGTTCGCCATCACTGGTCTAGGGTTCTACACGGTTGAGGGGAGGGCTCAGGTGTGCACCTGTAAGATCTGCCCTGTACTCTGGACTAAATGTCTGTGTCCTGCAAAAATGTACACATCGGAGTCCAGTTCCCAGTGTGAAAGTAGCTGATGTGGGGCCTTTGGGGGTGATCAGGTCCTGAGGGTGGAGCCCTCAGCATGAGATTAGTGCCCTTTTTATCCTATATAACAAAAGGCTAATATGCAAATCAACTGAACAGTGGAACAACCGGTCGCTATGACGCACACTGACCACCAGGGAGCAGACGTTCAATGCAGGAGCTGCCCCCTGGTGGTCAGTGCGCTCCCACAGGGGGAGTGCTGCTCAGCCAGAAGCCGGGCTCACGGCTGGCAAGAGCAGCAGTGGTGGCGGGAGCCTCTCCTGTCTCCACAGCAGCACTAAGGATGTCTGGCTGCCAGGCCTAAGCCTTCATTCAGACATCCCCCAAGGGCTACCAGACTGTGAGAGGGCACAGGCTGGGCTGAGAGACCCCCTGAGTGCACGGATTTCATGCACCAGGCCTCTAGTATGTATGTATGTGTGTGTGTGTGTGTGTGTGTGTATATATATATATATGAAATGCTTCACGAATTTGTGTGTCATCCTTGCCCAGGGACATGCTAATCTCCTCTGTGTCGTTCCAATGTTTAATGTATGTGCTGCTGAAGCGAGCACGATTCGTGCCCTTTTAAGAGGTGATAAGAGAGAGCTCCCTCTCTCTCTCCCAGGTGAGATCACAACAGGAAGACAGTCATCTCTACACCAGAAAAAAGTTCTCATCAGACAGCGACCACGCTGGCCCCTGACCTCAGACTACCAGCCCCAGGACTGTGAGAAATAAAGGCTGCTGGCTAAGCCACCAGCCGTGGGCACCTGTTGTGGTGGCCGGACTGGACTGAGGCACCCTGAGGTGGGCACCCAGGCGATGGGCAGCTGGTTGGGAGGCTGCAGCAATCGTCAAGGCCAACGATGGTTATTGTCATGGGAATGAGGCTGCGCAGCACCTGGCGGTTATTTGTGAAGGACGTGTATCCTTCCTCCGCGGTTCCCGGGGCTGCCGGTCTCTGTCCTCCCCCCTCCTGCCCCCAGCGGCCCAGCCCAGCTGCCCCTTTAAACACCTCATATAGTTTTATTTTAGGCAAAGGTCTCGATGCCTTAAAAAAAATTAGCCACTAATTTAAGTGGTTCTGCCTTGGCCTAGAGGGGCACAAAGTACTCTGTGTCTTGACTCAGTCCATTGCTACTCAGGGAAGGTTCTAGAAAGATACGCTGGCGATGAGAACTGTGTAATCTGATTCCAGGCATCTGTTCTCACCCAATCCTGCCAGGTATTCACGCCCACCGTTGCTTCAGCAGTAAGGTGGGCAGGGCAGGCACATGCCCAATTTTTAAAAAAATATATTTTTTTATTGATTTCAGAGGGGGAGATAGAAACATCAATGATGAGAGAGAATCATTGACCGGCTGCCTCCTGCACACCCGCACTGGGGATGGGGTCCGAAACCCAGGTATGTGCCCTGACCGGGAATGAAACCATGACCTCCTGGTTCATAGGTCGACATTCAAACACTGAGCCACACCAGCCAGGCAGGCACATGCCCTATTTTAAACAAAACATTTTAACAGCTAGTCTAGTAAATATAACCAGTCAGGAAGTAGAACTGGATTCTGAAAACACAGTCTGAAAACACACGTGAACTACCTACCCACTGCCATTTAACCGGGATAAAAACCTGGCACTAAAAGCTCAGGCCTCATCTTGCAGAGTCAGCGGTGCTGGTGCTCATGCCCCTGCTAAGAGAGGATGAGTCAGCAAGTCGTCCAGCCAGAGGCTGGCCTGAAGGACACGTGCTCACGATAGCAGCCCCAAGGGGGTCCCTGGTGCCTCGGTCACCTCACGCCCGGGACCGTGCGGGCCCTTGCTGTGGATTGCCTCCTTTGGTCCTTACAGCATCCCTGCGACGGAGTTATCCTTTAGTCAACCTTACTGACGACCTGGAGACCCCATCCCCAGACGCAGTCACATTGGGGGTTAGGGCTTCAATATAGGAATGGGGGAGGGGACACCAATCAGCGCATAGCAGCCTCTCGGCCTGCAGGGGGCAGAGCTGGGATTAGAAGCATGGAGATCAGACCCCTAGCCAAGTGCTGAAACGCCCCCATCCCCCTCCCCTCCTCTCCAGGGCTCCCACTGACCCTCTCACAACCCAGCATGGGGTCCGATTGTTTCCTTCCCTTCCTCCTTCATCCTGGTTGTCATAAGCCCGAGAGTACAAAACAGCTCTTCTTCAGGACGCGTGAAAAATTGCTCTGAGAACTCAACTTGGGCCGTCACAGGCTTGGGAGCACCCATCACTCATCCTTTAGAGACAAAGAAAGTTGTCAGGAGACAAGCCATGCCCGGCCTTCGCCTGCGCCCGCTACAGAGCAAGTCAGCGAAATCGACGAAGCAGAAGGGCTGCGTCAGGCTTTCCAAGGCTGCCATGAATCACCTCCTCGCAGCCAGCGAGATGCAGAACTGCATCCCATTATTCCAGAGCCAGAGCCGACAGGCAATTCCTCACTGCGCTCCCCTCCCGCCGGGGAGGAGGTGGAAGGGGGAGGGAGGCAGCCAGCACAAGCCCAGCTCAGGGACTGGGTCAGCGCTGCCCGCTCGCGTGCGGGACCCTGTCAGACTCCCAGAAGCAGAGGGCCAAGGCTCAGCCCTTGCTCTTGAAGGCTCCTGGCCCTCGGCCCTCGGGAGCTGGACAGAAGGCACACCCAGGCCCGGGTTAGAGGGAGCCGGGGAGCCAGGGGAGGCGGAGTGTTGGGAAGAGGGGGTGTCACCTGCACAGGCACTGAGGCAGGGGGGCATTTCTTGGAAGCAAATTTAAAGCAGAGATGATAACTGGAGGGGATGGGAAGAAGGTTCCAGAACCTGGGTCCCGGCTGGCCTGTGGGCTGGACTCGGAATCTGGAATTCAGGGGTCCGCACAGGGTAGCCATCCCGAGTCCTTCTCACCAGCTTTGAAAAGTTCAAGTCCCCAGAAGCCTGGGTTTGACACTCTCATCGCATTCATGTGTCCTCAGATAGACAAACACCTCTAGGTCCATTCTCACCTCGGAGGCATCAGGTAAGAAAACGGAATTAACACTTAAATTGAGCGCACGCTTACAGACTTCGTCGGGAATGCAGTTTACAAACTGTTCATCGGGAAATGTGATCGGCAAGACACTGGAACCAGAAAGGCTCACTCCTTCCTCTTTACAGACAAGAGGCCGGCGGGCAGAGCCGCGTGGGCATCCAGCTCCATCAGCGGTTTGGGGGTGCGGGGCACTCACCATAGGCTGACCAGGAAGGGGTTTGGGGGTACAGGGCACTCACCACAGGCTGACCAGGAAGGGGTTTTGGGGGTACAGGGCACTCACCACAGGCTGACCAGGAAGGGGTTTTGGGGGTACAGGGCACTCACCACAGGCTGACCAGGAAGGGGTTTTGGGGGTACAGGGCACTCACCACAGGCTGACCAGGAAGGGGTTTGGGGGTGCGGGGCACTCACCACAGGCTGACCAGGAAGGGGGTTTCGGGGTGCGGGGCACTCACCACAGGCTGACCAGGAAGGGGGTTTCGGGGTGCAGGGCACTCACCACAGGCTGACCAGGAAGGGGTTTCAGGGTGCAGGGCACTTACCACAGGCTGACCAGGAAGGGGGTTTTGGGGTGCAGGCACTCACCACAGGCTGACCAGGAAGGGGGTTTCGGGGTGCGGGGCACTCACCACAGGCTGACCAGGAAGGGGTTTGGGGGTGCGGGGCACTCACCACAGGCCCGGAACACGTTGCGCACCTCGTCCCGCTCCACGCACTTCTGCTTGTTCATGTACTTCATGGCGTACATCCGCTTCGTGTCCCGCTTCTGCACGATGCACACCTGGCGACAGCCGGAGAGGACAGTCAGGCCCGGGAACGCCAGCCTGACCAGGAAGGGGTTTGGGGGTGCGGGGCACTCACCACAGGCTGACCAGGAAGGGGGTTTCGGGGTGCGGGGCACTCACCACAGGTTGACCAGGAAGGGGTGCTCCAGGCCCTGCATGATCTGCAGCTCCCGGAACACGTTGCGCACCTCGTCCCGCTCCACGCACTTCTGCTTGTTCATGTACTTCATGGCGTACATCCGCTTCGTGTCCCGCTTCTGCACGATGCACACCTGGCGACAGCCGGAGAGGACAGTCAGGCCCGGGAACGCCAGCGGCCCTCCTGCAGGTCTGCCCCGGGGCTCGGGGTTCGAGTCTGTCCTGCTGGCGGAGCGGCAGCTGCAAAGTGGAGGGGCTGTGCAGGATTCACCCGCTAATCTAATCGGTTAAGCTCAGGCTCGGCCAGGGTGAGTGCGGGGAGGGCACTGTGCCTGCACCCGGAGGCATCCCGGGCCTCCACCCCACCAGGCACCCCTCCCACCCGCCAGGCCTGCTTCCTTTGCTGAGGACCCTCTGCCAGCAATGCCGGAGGGTTAAGGCCGAAGGAGCAACCCCTGACCCGAGCTGGGACCAGGGCACCTACACCCCAGGCCGCTTGCCCATGGGGCGGGATCAGCCTGGGTTCCCGGAGACAGAGAGTTTGCCCATGGGAGTCACTGGCCCGATGGCGCCCCTCGCTGGCAGGCCTCCCACCTGCCCCTCCCTGACTCCCGGGGCCCCGCAGCCACCTTCGCTCTCCCTTCGCTCTCCCTCCGCTCCGGTGCCCTGTGCTCAGTCCTGGCCCGGGAGCCTGCTCCTGGGAACACCCCAACTCAGGCTCACGCCGCTGGGGAGCAAAGATGTGGCAGCGGCAGTCCCAGCAGCGCCCGTGGATGGAGCCCCTCCTGCAGGCCAGAGGCTGAGCAAACTGTCCCCCACCACTCAGTCCCCCCCCGAGATCCTCAGGGATAAAGCCAGTATCTTCCCTGGAGCGCGAGGAGGCGCAGCCCCAGGGACCAATGCTCTTGCCAGAGTTCAACCAGCTGCTAAATAGCAGGGCCGCGTGCCAACCCCAGGTCTGACTTTGAAGAGACTC